GTCATAAGGAATTAAATCACTATTTGTTATACGAAAATTGAACATATGTGACTAGGGGGAATATAATGACAAAAGAGATCACTCCAACTTAACTCTCTTTTTGTCTCAACAATGAATTCTGGCACGTTCTCACTAAACACTTACTATTGACTACACGTGCGTTAATTTGCCCAAGTCGCACGGTGATCTTTATTTAGTTTTGTAATACTTTAAGCAATAATGGAAAGGGGAATAACGTATTGATATTTAGAAAAAGAAAAAAAAATGAATGGCTTTTCGAGAGATGAATATTGTACCTATATTTCAGTTCAGTACTTCAATTTTTCCACTTTAATTATATACATAGTTTCTTAAAACTGGAATTCTCACACACCGTCTGAGTGTTATCATATAATATAAAAGATGTAAGACGTTAATTTTTTCAATTAATTTTTTCGAGTTCGCCTACGATAAAAATCCCGCGCCATCTTGAATCACCTGCATCACTTGTGCATACATTTATTTAATCTAAAAAAATAAAATTCGCTWTAAAACCGTCCCAACACCTCAAAAAACTCATGTACTGTTTTTCCAAAATGGCTACTTTGCAACGCTTCTAGTTCATATTTCATTTGAAGGTATGGTATATAAACGTATATCTCAACTTTGTTTTGGAAATATCAGACTAAATCTGAATACCAACAAAATTTGTAACCATAAAATAAATGCCTTATGAGCAGTTTTAAGCAATCTATAATGTCGCTACCCATACTTCCTTTCGGTCTGGTCCCTTAGAGTTAGAACACTAATCTGGCAATTTCGACCGCTCTCTTGCACATACTTAAACTTTAATTTTGGTCCAATTTGCGGCCCTAATTTATGTCTTTTCCATGGCATCATACGATTTCATTTGAATCGTAAATGAAATCATGCATGCTAAACTATTAAGGCCAACATTTCCTCTTCTACCATAGTTAATATATATCAACTATGCTTTTACATAAAGATTTCAATATTTCAGCGTTATGTCTGTGTCAACATAAAATACATTCGGCGTTGCTTTACGTATGCGTACGCACCACGTGTGCGCATATTATATACTCAATGACGTGCCTTTCTCGGCACCTTTAAAGTTGTCATGACAACACCAGAAATAATATCATTTTCAAAATCTAAAGTACATTTAAACCGTACTCCATGGGGAAAATATTTTGTTTGATTATTATCATCAGTGTGGCTTTTATTGTGAGGTTCTTGAGGGAGGAAAAACTATATAGAGTATTAATTAACGTCCACTAAAGGATAGTACGGCCAAGTAAAGATAGAAATTGGCTTTGGATAAACATAGTTACTAACTAACGATTTTTAAATATACACATGCAGTGATGGTCAGTTTAATTTAATCGGTAAAACTAGTTCTCAAAGATTTCAAATAAAAAGAAGCTAACGATAATTTAGAAGTTTAGTAAATTTATTTTGTATTGCGCRCCACRTATTWAWAAWTAATAGATGACGAAATATCKTAGTTTACTTTGGACTAAAAACAACAACATTTCGCCGGAGGTTTACGTATCTTTCAAAGCGCCTCTCCGGCCGAGGATTAATTCTTAAAGACAAACACTTATTAGTSCTTTTGGAAAAGAACATTAAGTTGACAATATGCCGGCAATAGAAGTTCTAACGATCCATTGAGGTCAGCTGCATATGACAAAATACATACGCGGTTGCCTGATGGTCGATGGTCGAACGATAAGATCAAACAGTTTGAACCAAAATGATATTTTACGGTATGAAAAGCGTGGTAATACTTGGAATATTGATGAATGTACAGTATCTTTGAACAGCGGAGTGTTGAGGAGCATCAAAAACATAGATTAGACGCAGAACTAAGCCTGGATTTGAGAAGATCAGACAGTCAAATATTGGATCGCCAACTTCCACTTCTGACACCATTGAATTTTGGTCAAAGAGAGTTAATTCGCGAACGAATTCGTCCATTCAAAGATAATCTCAAGTCTTAATTCTATCGCCATTCAAAACAAATGATTTTAACCACGCACCAAAGAAAAGATTAGTTCGTTTGAGTGCTGTTTTGACTGAAGSTGAATTTAAATGAGACGAAGGAGCCCTACTGATAACGAKAGTTAATAATGAGCGAAGGATGTCTTAAATGAGAGGGAAGTTCTGAATCAGTTTACGCTTGCATATGCTAATACTGTCAATCTTGATTGAAAAAGAATTCACCTGGGGACACTTATTGTTAACACGTCGAGCCAACAGTATGATTTTTAATGGCCTCTTCATCCACTAATTCAACGTACAATAATTGATTCATATATGTAGAACTCAGCCAAAGATATAGACACTGTCCTAACAGTTCCTTCATCAACTCAAAATGTCTTGGAGTCGTTTAAAATCACTTTTGAAAACGTCACGTCTRCCGGAGGTGGACAGCCTTGACTCTGATTCACCTAATGACTCCAATATACCGATCAACGTAGAAGAAGCTTACCTTCATGAAAGCCCATCGGAACCAAATCTCGGTGCGATGTCGGCTAGTCACTATGGKTTCCTATCCGTGCCAGTAAACGAATTAAAAAGATCAAATTCACTTGATATGAAGCCTAAAGCAATTGGTAAGCTACGAACTCATAGCCTTTGCTCGATACTCTCAGAAATTAATTCAGATGGAAGCTTAAGGATCAGTCAGATGAGTTTGTCGGGTGGATCTCGGAAGTCGAGACCTATACGAGAGATATTTTATCGCGAAGAATCATGCGAAGCAACGAGAGAAACCTCTCCGGTCGTTGAGCTAASCACTTTTCCACAGGTACGCATTATAGCATTATTATTTAAGTTATTGATAGTTAAATTTTGAAAAGATATGCCATTTATTTATATCCCCAGGGAAAACTCGTTATTTTTTTATTTTGAGTTAGTGAACATCATTTTATACATGAAACATGACAGCTGTATTTGCCAAATTCTTTTTACACTCGGTACCCTCTTTTTAAAAATGTACAATTCTGATTTGCTTCTATGTTTGTTTTCGGTGTTATAAGTTGACAAATACAAAGAAAAAATGATTTGCCATTCACTAAAGGTATATATGACGGTGGTATGATGACAGATGCTTGCGTTGTTATATGAGCTCCACTCGACGTCTTAAAAGCAATTTGAATAAGTGATTTGAATCCATTGTTGTGTGCAAAAAGAATAGGACAGAATATAGGACACTAAAGTTCCTAGCTAAAATGACACATAAATAAATAAAATCTGCAAGAATCTGAGAAATCGCTGAAGTGGATAAGAGTCGGACGAATACTTATTTTCTTTCAGACGATTTCATTAATTATGAAAGTAACCAATGGTGTAATATTAATGAAATATTAACGAAGACCGAATAGAATTGAAATAACAAACCTACTTTTCTGTTAACAGTTACATAGCTAGCCAAATACCAAGTTATTTCACTGAATAGATAAATAAGATAAAAGACATAAAGGGGACACAGAAAAAAAAATCGTGTAGTGGACTAAATATGAAAAATAGAAATCCCACTGATTTTCGTGACACTGAGCCTAAAGCCAGACACTTGAAAGATTGGAGGATTTTAAATGGACTCGGCACTTGTGCGCTTCGGCGTTTGAAAGGGGCCTAGTCAAGATTATAAACCGAACCAAAAAAAACCATCAGAAAACGCCGGCAGCTTGTCAGCAGAAAGCGGTAAAATATCAGGAAGAGCCAAGTAAGATGTATTTCATAATAGTTTCTATCAACTTGCATGCAATGCATCACTTAAAAAATCAATAGTCATTAATAAATCATAAGCTGATGTCTAGTTGTGGTCTAAAGCCTATCTAAAACTAACAAATTGAAAGTGCTTGCTATTTTAATCCGGCTTTCAGGCTTGTATGGCATCCCACATTGGAGAGAGCTCGCGTCGCTCACTAGTGTGTTGACATAATTGCTGGGGGTTAATGATAACATAACGTTTATAACTGATTATCAAAGATAGTGATGAACAAATATCAGTATCATCGGTTATACTACAAATCCATGTTGCTGGTACCATAGACAAACTTACTAGTACTTCAACTAAACAATTCAAAATTGAGACCGATATGATAGTGATGAATAAAAAATCAGTACAACGTAAAGACACATCATRTGACTAGGGAGCGAACTTTAGCGGTAACACCTCACTCTTATTATCGACTGGCAGAAAATTTCATGTCGTTGAGTGTACGACGTCTGAATCACGTCGATCTATAGCTATAGGTTCTCCGCAGGTGGTCAGCCGCGGTCAAAGTCCAAAAAAAGCCTGCAATGAAAATACGGGGGATAATGTCTTTGTCGTCTCGTTTCTTTTTACACAGTCAGTTCGGCGAGCACGTTAGAGATTTGAGTCATCAAGTGTAGGCGTCAGAGACTTCCCTACCCTCCCACTCGAAACTGTATACCGTTTTTCGCCAAGTCAAGTTTATTAGTTTATTTTTATATTAAAGTGCATCATGACACATTTTAGAAAATCACTTTTATTTGAAAGTTAATATACGCTGTCAAGCTCTTCTGTGAAGAAATAAATAGATTTGAATTGTATTATAGACATTTGGAAATTGAAAATGMAAATGAAGTGACGTCAACTAAGGAATGGTCCAGACTTTTTACATTGTTTGTGTTATGTTGTTCTTGGAGTCAAGAGCTCACATAATCAATCATAGTAATAATTGAGAGCTGAAAATGCTTTTTCCAATATAACAAAAAGAGTAACGTCCTTTTTCATGATTTTGTATATTAAATCATTCCTTAGTCGACGTAACTTCATTTGCATTTTCTAAGTTTCAATTGCCCATAACTTAGAAAGTACAATTTAAAATCAATTTCTTTCTTCACAGATGTACTTAGCAGCATTTTTTCTTTTGGATGAGAATGAATTTCTAAAACATTGATATCATTAATTTCCTTTTAAATTAAAATGTCAAAGTTGCAATATATATGTGCCCGCGATGTTTGAGTTTGACCCACTAAAACTAAATTTCAGACCAAAAGGGAACACGGATCATCAACATATACCTGAATAACATATATGAATTAATATAAATACGATAAGATGACGTGTTTTGATATTACGCCTTGCAAATGATATCGATGATATGATAATAATTATTTTCTGAGTGAAAAATAAAATATTCAGGAAACAAAGATATCACTTGCGACATATTCATATCCTTGTACATCTTTGAAATGCTGCAAGCAATTTTTTTGTGAATTAGTAAACGCGCAAAATCATATGTAAGATACGATATATTTTTAAAAGGTTTTTCCGTCGCGTAATTGGAAGAAGTTTAAAAAACACCTGATAAAAAGGGAAGAGACAATAATAACACTAGAAAAAGTACAGCGAGTGGTCATCGAGCCTGTCTTGATCACCACATGGATCAGTATTCATATTCAGTACGCCATTAAGTTGTATATCAAACTAAATATGCATCCATCATCAAAGCGCTGCAGAATGCTCCCATGGATTTACATTAAGAAAGGAGATATACTTTGTATATGGGGATAGTTAGCCAGTCAAGTAGGGAGGGGAGCGTGCGGACCCTAAGTCATGARTGAGCGCACCTTTACAACTTGACCATTGTGTCAACCGGGTGTGGCAAACTTTGTATAATCATGCTCACTACCTTTTCCCGGTCATGCTTTACGATTAGAAGAGAGACTCGATTGGCACGACATTGAGTTACATCATCAGTTAATAGTAGAATTATACGCCCGAGGAGTAAAGGCGCAGCGTCATGGATGTGAGGAGGTGGGTTCAGATCTTAGATACAGCCATGATGGTTGAACTTCTTTTTATTTTGAACTATTTTCATTAACCTGTAATATAAGAGAATATTTTTAGGGAAAATCCCTTATAGGTGGACGCGGCGCCCATCCATCAGATGGGCCGTATTCCGCCATATTTTTCGAGGGTACGGGTTCGGATGTTAGATACAGACATTCATGGTTTTTCCTTTTCTTTTTTTTCTTTTATTCCGATGTTTGAACGTAATGAAGGCTGTATCTGTACAAAAAACTTTCCGAACATTCAACGTCCCTAAATGCACCTGCACACCTATGCGGCCCTCCTCCCCGATATGTTCCTCCTCTACTCCTCGGGGATATGGTCAAACATTGTTATCATTGTAATCTTTGCATAAAATTATCTATATTGATTAATATTGGAGAAAGATTGATTGCCTTCTCTCGTACTGTGAATTACTTGAAGACTTGACATAATATTCCATCGTTGTCATGATCGTCATGTCGTTTTTATTGATAATTTGGCTTTTGGTATTATCAAAATAAAACATGTCTGTCAWTATAAAAATGCTCGCGCGCATCACYGACTGGTAATCACAGKCGAGATAGATCGATATACGGTAGCGTGAATCAATGCCAGGGTCGATTGCCACTCTATTTTTTGTTCTTATTCATTGAGTGGTTTATCTGCCAGACCTTTGACAAATACCAACCTCTCTATCATAAAACGACAATCCAACGCTATTCAAAATGCAATTAAAAGGGAAGGAGTTTATTGTATGCGTAGATACCGCAATCTATATCTGTGTTATCTTCAATTATTCGAAGCAACGTGAATCTTTTTCATTGAAGTGACTCTTCTTGAAGTTATAGAGCGATTTTGATATATCATTTCCTGTGACACTTCCAGCTTTCTTAGTGTTAACTGTTCAGTGGACTTAAATCCTAATTAAATCGAAGGAAGTATTTTTTTTTCTACCGACAYATAAAACCTCGATTTTTTGGTTGACTATTTGATTTGGTGCCTGATACATGTTTAAATTATTGAAAGCATTTCTACAGATAGCAACTGACCACCAAAAAAATCAAAATATAAGAACTCAAATGTTTGAAATCTCAGTTACAGCGTGTGCTTACAACCTGCAGAGTGTCGTCCGAGTTGGCTATGCTATGTAAAGACTGTTTAACAGGGAAGGTAAAACTGCACTCTCTCTGCCAAACATAATCTTTTTTCATTATTTTTCAATTTACCATTAGGCCACTATTGGAATTCCAAACGAGTATGAAMTAGWAGCTCAATGTCAGTGCGCAGTTAAATTTGGTTTAGTCATAAATGAGTCATAAATTCTGTCACTTAAATTTTCAATGAAATCGAGCAGGTAAACTGTGAAATATTAGACTATATTATTTTTTCACTCAATAGTTCCGAATTTGCGTATTGTTTGACCAAGCCTTTTTATTTTCAAATATGATTTTTCTCTTATTCTAATGCTCCCGAAACATTTTAAACACTGATTCTCGCAATTGAATTACTTCAAATCGTTTTTGCTCGTTTTCCTCTCTCATTTGCACATTATAAATTTGGCCTTTGAAACTGGAATTTGAGTGACGGAAAGCCCATTTCTTTTCTGACCAGTAAAGCCAAGATTTGGTAAATCAAGCGGATTCATAGCCTTATAATCAAATTTCTGATTCAAATCTGAGCACTTCATAGCCGCACTTTTCTGTATTTAATTTTTAATGTTGATCATCTTGTGATAAGACACGTATTGCCATTTAACCCCTCCCTTCTTGGTAAGCTTTTGGTTCTTTTATTGGTATAGGATTTCCACGAATAATACAAAGAAATGAAATACTCATTCATTTTCAATAAACTGAGTGATTTCAGTAGATGGTGTTTTAATTAGAAAACATTGCCTTATCGCTTTTTCAATATGTTGAAGTCTTATTCACAGCAAGAATAAGAGAAGTGGTTGTTTTTACCTCTATAATACAAAATGCAGAAAATCTTCAAAGTCGAAACACTAGAGATCTGATTCCCACAGGGTTGAGTGGGATTTGGTTAATTTTAAAGCCGATTCAGACCAAATGTCTCGTTCRGATAAWTTAACTAATCTCTTATTTATTTTACAATAACCCACACACAACCTCAGCTGATTTTAGACTTTGTTTTCGAGCWTTAGAARAACAGGAMCACACATCAAAATGGTTCCAATTTCACACCGCTGGAGCCCGCCCTACTTAAGCCCGCGGTATCCAGGATCTGGAACGCATGCGCAAAGTTCCAAGACGAGTTTTTAATAGTCAACTTTAGATATTTTGGTGCAAAAGAACGCACACGAGGCTCCGGAAAAACAATGATCGATATTCTTGATTTATTCTTTTATTTCACCGGAGTCTCGTTTGCAATTCTTTTGTGCATGATCACTGAACCAAAATATCTAAAGTCATCTATTGAACAACAAATTGCTTTTTCTCCACTTTGATCATTTCATCTTAAAACCTTTTTTTAGTCTGGAGTCGATGCAGATGGTGAAAAAGAGACCCTTCACAGTTTGGCCCGACGAGGGAATACCCAGGACATACGGGTACTTCTACAGCAAAGTGAAGGTACACCATACCATTGCATTATAGTTCCTTTTAAGATAGCCCTATATTATAACAGCAAGGTCAGCTTTTCATTTTGTTTGTTAAATCATTCATTATATCAGTGTTAGTGGTAATCAAATCATTCGCACTTAAAACTACAGTCACGAATAAAATACTAATAGTTCCTGTTCTACAAATGATTGACGTGAGCTCTAAACGTCCACATCCCCCGCCTCCTCCTCCTATGTACTTCCAGTTACTGCAGTGCTGTTCATGTAGGTCAGGAAATTATCATTAGAAATGAAAGCGACCTGCAACGATAGGACAACATTGAAACAGGAGACTCGGGAAGTCATAAACTCAAAAACCTCTGCAAAGTTATCTCTCCAAATTGATATTTTCCATGATTAACTGTTATTTTTTTCAGATATCGACAAAAGAGATTCGTATGGCAAGACGCCAYTACATTGYGCTGTATCAGCAGGACARATTGCCACCGTAAAATACCTTCTGCATTGCCATGCCAACCCTAATCTAAAGGACCACCGAGAGGAAGCACCGTTACACGTCGCTGTCAGGACAGGGAATGTAGATATTGTAGAGGTAACAAGTTGGTTTGTTTTCTTGTCATCTAGYATCTGCCTATAGAAGCACTCATCGGAAACAGACTCCGTCGACGCCTAAGCTATTCCGTTACCTTTGCTTCCCGTAAGCGCAAAGTCTTTATTGATGAGCTCGCAACTTCCCTTCATTATCTACTGCAAATATATGAGAACCTAATTCCCAGGTTCTTTTCGACAAACAAAGGAAAAAGCACTTGGAAATGAGGCTTTTTCTTTCAGTTATGCCCCCTGCGATTCTTTACACTAGTGGTTATCTCAGTATGTAGTCTTAGGTTAACAATTTCTCGTGTTTTGCTTGCAACAGGTTCTTCTTAACCACCAAACTACGGATGTCAACATCGAAGGTCGAAATAGATATACACCATTACACACTGCAGCTCATCTTGAGCACAGAAACGCGCTGGAGATATGTCAGAAACTGGTAAAACTACTTAATTGATTTTAGCTTTACCTTAACCCTGTTGAATTGCTTGTGTTTGTTTTCCGAATTGTTATGTTTTCATCTTCATATTGGCTCAGCACATCTTCTGCATACGTCTTAGTACCATTTTGTTGCCAGTCGATTTTTCAAGTTCTTTGTCTTGTTATCTTCTCRTGACTTCTCTCTTTGTTTTCATGCTAAGTTTATTAACATGTTACATTGTTATAGTTGGAATGCGAAGCCGACGTTATGAAACGGTCAGCAGATCAAATGACTCCCATGAGTGTTGCAGCTACAAAGGGAGCTTACGAAACKATGGCAATTTTCTTCAAAAAATGTAAGTWTCGTAAGTGAACCGCTTAGAAAGCGYACCTATTTCAGTTGCTGCTCTTCAGCTGTTAATGAAATWTTATTTGCTGATTTAAATTTACCATCTTTTGTAGGCGAGGAAATACACCCTGATCCTAAAAAGAAGCTCGAAATATTATACAGTGTGGAYTTTGATGGAAGCACGCTCTTGCATTTAGCYATTGATAGTGGTGTACTYAAGGTTTGTATGAGTCACTGTTATCGTATTATGTTAATGTCAGTTTATTGCAACTTACACTGAGTTTCCGTCATCGGCATTGCGCGCTATTATGCAAAATTACYATTTCCCATATYTATTTGCCATCATCACTGTTTTACAGGCAAGATTGCTATTGCTATCTTTATCAATACGTTGAATGTCGTCGTCATCGACATTGTCATTGAAACTTGTCTCCAATTAATATGGATGATGGCCTTATCATAAAATCTTTCTCGTTTAGGCAGTAAAGCTTTGTCTTGACGAGGGATGCTCGCTTACAGCAATAAGAGTAAGTACAACTGATCGCACAAACCAACATAGCGATAGTGACTAAAAGTATCTAAATTTTGTGTTTTCCAGAGAGTAGACGGTGGTACACCTATCCATCTTGCATGTCGTCTAGGTGCTTTGGAGATCCTCAAATGCTTGTATGAACACGACAAGGATGTATTCACTGATAAATTGGTAGACCGTGAGGGTATGACGCCGCTACACAGGTAATTACTCCTAGCCCTCATGAATGACTAGACAACTTTCTTAGTTCTTTCTGTSAACTGTTCTGCATTTCAAGGCTTGTTTTTTTAAAGATCATTTGGTATATAAGCTAGCGGTTGCTATGGGCACGTTTTCTATAGAGCACAGCTCTCAAAAACGTTGATGGATGTGTCATTTAGTGTTCTTTTTTTTAATTTTCTATTTCAACAGAGCAGCAATGTTCAATCATTCCTTAGTTGTCTCATTCTTGGTTGATCATGTAAGTAGATCGCAACAACAGCTCAATCAATGCTGCCCAATCACACATAAATCACACATAAATCTTCTCCTATAGGGTATGAACCTGAACCCACGAGACCGCGAAAAGTGTACACCCCTACTGCTAGCCGCTGCGCATGGCTGTTCCGCAGTTGTGTCCCTCCTTCTTGAGAAAGGTGCCGACGTGACATGCAAGGACGACAAGAACAGAACGGCGTTACACTGGGCAGTCGGACAGGATAAAACGACTGAAAGACTTCTCAAGGTAGACGTCTGATTTTTTTTAGTATTTATTAAAATACATGGTCCTTTRGTGGGACGCAGATTTCATTTATATTCTATTCCTCTTCCAGGATGAACAGGTGCACGCACATAAACTAGTCAATCAGCAGGACAGTACCGGGGCTTCCACCTTACACTACGCTGCGCAAGGAGGCTTTATCAAGGTATCTGATATTACTTTCTGGTAATGGTTCAGTTACTCTACAGGAATGGTGGAGAACCCGGGCACTAGCTTTGGATTCCTATTGCTTTGTAATTTCTGGTCGAAGGATAATTTATCTAGCCACGTTACTGTCAGGGTCATTAATTATCTTTTTTACTTATTTATCATTACTTTTGCAGAGTGTATTACTACTATTAAAGAAYGGAGCCGACGCTGGTCTTAAAAACCACAAGCTTGAAACTCCGCTTCACCTTGCAGCGAGGTAAGTGTCCAGATATCTGATTATTGACGTAAACTAAATAGGGCTTTCACTGATGCTGCATTTCAAGGCTACAGGCTGCTTGGACTGAGTTTTCATTATTCAAACATATTTGAGGTTTGGTTTGAGTCTTATAACGAATTAATGATACTACTTAAACATGTTTTAACAGCCATGGGTGGCTACCAATCGTCAAGAAATTAATGGAAGGSCGTCAAACGCGGTTAATGAATGTTGGTAATCTTAGTGATCACACGCCTTTACACCTCGCAGCGTCCAATGGACAAGATAAAGTCGTGAAATTCCTCCTTGATAGAGGGGCAACGATAGAGAGGTAGGTCATAGTTTCAATTAAATCACCGCTGACGACATTTTATTTTAAGGTTAATTGAAATTGTATCATATCTCARTCCTGTTGGCTTGGTTCCATTGGTTCCCGAACGTCATGTTATAGAAAATGAACCGCACTTCCAGGTTGCTAGCCTTAGATATGAATATGCATTTACCAGAATGCTTTGCGCGCTCCCATCATTTTTTTCCAATGCCGTTTTTTRTACTCTTGAACCAATTCCCWCTCCTTTCTCCATGTTTAGAGATACCGAAGGACGAACTGCTCTCCATTTTGCTGCCGCAAAAGGTTCATTRAAAAGTGTTCAGTTGATATGTGCTGCAAACCCCAATTGCATCAACGATGAAGACAACGCAGACCAGGTTTGTAAGACGATTTTTACTGATTAAACAACAACAACAACAACAACAACAACAACAATAAAAACCTCTGATGTTATTATTGTGAATGACACGGTAGACAACATGAAAAGTAGCCCATGGGTTATTCCAAGAGAAAGATTTTTTCTTGAAAGATATGAATACAATAAAATTTTAGAACGTGTCTGCACTTTACCTTTCAATCATACTCATTCATTATGGCTGGAATTGTGTTCCGAATTTCTGATCCTTGACTAATACTCA